TGAGGGTATTGATCGCAGATTAGTCAGAGACAGGGAGGTATGGCGAAGAAGAAAAATGAGAATATAATGAAATGAGAGGAGAAAGATTCATAAAATTGTAAATTTAGATTGAAGGTTAAAGTCGAGATTTGCCCAGAGATGGTACAATGTAGTGGCTCTTACTCTCTGCTGAAACAGTGGTGGAGAGAATGATGAACAGAGACACAGAGAGAAAGAGAGAGGGAGAAGGGCAGGGGGATGTTATTTAGTGAGTGAAATACTGCTTTCTCACACGAGTCCAATCCCTTGTGAGTAATCCTGCCTGTAAATCCGATGGGATTACCACTGATATAGTCTCAATTTTCTGGATTGCTGTAATTCCAGTGTAAAAAGAAAACTCAGCAGCATAAATAGTGACAAGAGGATGATGAGAGAAGGTAAAGCACAGAATGAAACAGAGGAAATGAATTCACACACATTTACAAATGTCCATATTCTTCCAGTATAAAACCAGCTGTGCAATTGTGGCTTCCTTATAACTCCGCTTTTTGGAGTTCATCGACGAGGTCTGGGAATTAGACTATTCTGCACACGTTCTTAGAACTGCATTTGTTCTTGCCAGAGATCTTAGATCATAGATTTTCCAAAAGGAAATTGGGCCCAGTCTAATCATGGCCATTGATAAAACCAGTCCAGCTCATCAGCACATTGGCACCTTTAAACTTAAACCTGATGCAGACTCAGTTGGACTAAACTACTTAACTCCAGCCTGGTGTTTAGAGCAGCGGTGGGTCGTGCTCTCACACATCAGTAGCTCTGATTGTGACTGACAATGTAAAAAGTCTACTTTTCTCCTGATATTGCTACGTGATGCTCTGATTAACTACACGTGAAGCGACCATGTAATGTCACAGCTCTATTGATCACCTGCTAATCTGAGTATATCTTTACATTTCAACTGTATTGTTTTCTATGCATAACTGATTGTATATCGGGCTCTGATCTTTGCCAACATGCAGGTGACACAAAATCAATACTGTCTGTAAACGCCCCCTGTGTGGACACTGAATCTTCTGCTCTGCCAACATGCTGCTCACACTCCTCATCTCTAAATCTTAAAAACCCTAATATATTTATTAAAAAAAGTGAATGGTTTCTTCTGACATTGGTGGAGGAACTCATTTCTTGTAATGGAATGAGCTCCACCACCAAACTACTAAGCAGGATACGCTGAATGTTCCCACTAGCTGTATAAACAGACGACCAGTGCTCTGTAGCAGTAGCGGCTGGAACTCACCAAATTAAGTGATGTATTGTTGATCGTGACAAGAGTGTGTTAACAACAAGGAGGGCATGACAATTGCAAAGACAACTGATTCTGTAGTTCGGCTTCAATGCACTTTGAATAAACAGGTGAACAGCTCTTTGTGCAGCAGCGGTGGTGCAGCATCAGGGTCCTGCAGCTGGTTTTTACTTGACATGGCTCATTTACAGATTCATAAAGAAAAGCTGCAACCAGCATCACCGTAGGCCAAGCAAACAGCCCATTCCAAACAGGCAGGATTTGAAGCCACTGCACTAGTTTTTGTAGATTTCAGAAATGTTTTGTATACGTCACCATCTCATCAGTAGAGTGATAAAGTGGCCAATAAGCCTGGGCAGCAGTATAACTCTCCAGGCGCACTTCTAGTCAGCACATTGATTCCAGTTATAGTCCTCATGGGAATGTAAGTAATCCTGCTCTGAGCCCTGGTGTCTGACTGCTTCTATCTGAGCTCAAGGAAGTTTAGTTTGGCAGATGATAGTTAACACTCTCTCTCTCTAATGCGACCATGGCGGGCCGATTTCAACTCTTCAACTCTTCCCCATTTCACACTCAGAATCTCCTGGTCATTCTTCTAACACTGACATTTTCCTTTCTGTCCCACATCAAATAGTTGACACGGTCTCAGACGGGGTGTTTTACAGCCCGATGGTAAACTCCTCCTCACAAACACTGTCCCACCATCTGCTCAGCTCTAATTCTCTCAGCTAACCTGTACGTCGCACAACACTGTAAACAGTGGAGTCAGTCTGCAGGACGAACAGTGCGATGAAGACACTGCAGTAAATCACCACAAGGGTTTTTGTGTTTACTGTAGCAGGTCATGTCAAAAGTAGGAATTTCAGACACATGGTTCACGTTAAGTAGTGACAAACGTTAAAACCGAGGCTGTAACTCCACTAAATACATCTGCTTCTTGTTTCCTCAGTTTCAGCTCAGTCGTACGTGTTGGTTACCTGCAGGTTGATTTACAAGCTTTATCAGACTGAAGCAAACATGGAAAGTGTGAATCATATCTCTGGTGACTTATAATGAAAACACTGTAAGGAATGTGTGTTGTATGTGTCTCATTTGGGAGCTTCTCCACATCAGTCAAGCTTCCTGTTTTCACATGGCACATGATGCATAACATGAAATGCCATCTGGATTCCAGAGAACCCAAACACAAACTACGCCACAATTTGTATCAGTCATTAAGAATGATGAGGAATCAACTCACAAAATGAATCAAATTTAAGTTTTAGATAGAGATTTCAAGAATATTAAGTCATAATATTACAAAAATAATGACTTCAATACTCTGGTGTAGTCTCAGACTTGAACTCAGGAAAATAAAGAGCGGGAGATTGACCAGGTTGGACGAGCTGAAAACAGGAAAATATTCATTCACAGCATATTGACTCCGGCCCTTATCACCAGAAGCTCATGAATCTCATTGTCTTAATTGAACATCTTTGTCTGCATCTTCCACGTGTCTGGCACCTCTTCTTTATCCATTAATCTGTATTCCTGTTGGGGTTTTTTCAGTAACATACGTCATGTGAAATGGCATCAACGTGCCCAAATAGCTCAAAGTGAATTCTCCAGATATTTTCTAGCTGTAGCACAAGCTCACTCTGACACATTACCAGGAGGAAGGCAGGAGAAGTTCCTGAAAATGTCAGGAACAACTGACTTTGACATTTGCGTCCTCACGTACAGCCCCTCCAAAAATATATCAGGACATTTTCCACAGCTTTATATTCCAATTACTTTCTATATAATTTCACTTGTCCCTGAAATGAGAGGAGTCCAAACAGGGAGGGCTTCATTTCAGTTTCAGCTCAATTCTCTAGGTAGCTCTAGGCAACTGATGGGAGATGGTGACTTTCCAAAAGGAAACCTATATTCTCTACAAAAAGATATAACAGAGATCTGCTCTTTCATGCACTCGGGAAAACTATCGGGCATTAATTGCCTGTTCCAACATTAATTATTAAACCAGAATTTTACACTTTGCCTAATGAGCTACAAATGAACCCTCTTTGTGATACGCTCTCTCTCGTGGCCCAGATGAGGGGAGAGGACTCCGTCATAATTGAGCAAGAAAATTACATATTCAACCAAGATTAGTTGTTTCCACTTGTTATCATAATTTTCATTATTGAGGAGGAAGCAGAGATGGCACAGAATGAAAAGGGGTTTCCGTCATTTTAATTGGTTGTTGATTCAGTTCACTGTCTCCAGTCACACCCAGAAGAGTGTGTGTGTGTGTGTGTGTGTGTGT